TCAATCAGCACCGACGCCGAAAACCGCAGGTGGTGGCGGCGGCGGTGCACTAACGGCGCACCCGTCGTAACTTCAATGGAAAAACTAAAACGGAGCACCAACGTCAGAATACCAATGCCGCCGATTTTTGTTTCCCTTTCTTTGCAGGGGACAAAAGAGGAATCGATCAGGAGGCAAACAATCGAGGAAAAGTTTGGAAAGGCAGAAAATGGTGTGTGGCCAGTACCAATTTGCAATCAATTGGCTGTGGTGGTGGTGGTGGTGGTGGTGGTAAAACCGGCAATTACCCGTTCGCCAAGGCAACTTTTTATTTTTCTTTTCCCTTTCATTTGAAGAAACTTGAACGCTATGTTTACTCTGGCGATTTTTTCACCAAGAGGGGAAAAGCGACTGATTTCACCGCTCCACAGCGCTGGGAGCGGCGTTATTTGCCTTTTTTTGCTCTTGACCTCCACTTTTGTTGTTGTTGCCAAGCTGCGGAAAACTCTTCTGTGATTATTCTCACTGTGAAGTCTACAGTTTCGATCATGTCTATCAGCAACTGCTACAGCACCGGTGATGCCATACCTTTACAATCGTCTGTGATAACCACCACCTTCTTCAGTATACTTCTTCTGCTTCTCAGCACCACCACCACCAGCAAGCCAATGCTCACCTCAGGCCTGTCTGCCTTCATCGGCGACCTACCTCCCCGACAATACCTAAAACAGATTTGCGCCACCAGCTCTTCAAAGTCCTTTAACAGCGACAGCCTAGTGATCATTGCCGACTTTCAGCACCCGAGCTTCAGCCTAGCGGGCTCCGGCATCACCCGAAGAAGCCGTCAACTTCGAAAGAGGCGAAAGTCGCTGGCCGACTTTTCCTGCCTCTACAGCAGCCCCAAAAGCCTCCTCTTTCTCAGCCTTCGCTCGCCCACAACGGCTCGCCAAATCGCCACCTCAGTGCTCAACACTTCCCAACTTAAGTACCGCCAGCTGACGCTGCTCTTTGACCTGGAGCGGCTCGTCTTCGAGAACTCCGCCGCTTTCGGCCAGCTGCTGCAGACCTTGGCCGGTGAGGTGCTCGCCCACTGCCACCGCTGTCGACCGCTGGTGGCGCTCTTTGACCTTTCGCCGGGGCAGCTGAAAAGTTGGTCGGAGGAAGCAATTCAGAAAAGCGGTCTTCAAAACTTTCAAGCAGTGCTCGTCTCTTCTTCCTCAGCAGGCTCTTCAGTTCACCTCAACCCAACGCTGTTCGGCTGTCAGCAGTCGCCGGGTGGGAGCGTCTTTGTGCCCACCTCTCCGGCTGACTACCAGCACCTCGCCGCCGACCCTAGCAGTTGTAATTTGCAGGGGAGAACGCTCAACGCCTCCTACAACCAGAAGCTGCCCTTCTGTGATATAGCTCAAGGCAGTGGTAGTGGTGGGGATGATAATCAGCAGCTGGTGGTGGTGAAGTTCGCCGTCGAGACGGAGATCGTGAAGGTGCTGCAGGCGAAGTACAACTTTAGTCTGCGGCTCTTCAATGCCCGCGGTGCCTGGGGCATGCTGGTGGGCGGGCGGTGGACGGGCACGGTGGGCATGGTTCTAAATGGGGTGAGTACTCGCTTTTTAAGATTTTTAAAGCATTCTAAACTTTGAAATTTTCGCTTTCAGTCGACCAACTTCGGCATGTGCTACATCTCGCGGACGCCGGCTCGCATGGCCGTCGTCGACTTCAGCTACCCGATCTACGTCGACGAGCTGACCTTCCTCTCCCGGTCGCCCAAACTAAGGGCCCGCCACTGGCTCGTCCTCAGCCCCTTCACCCCTGAGGTGTGGCTCTGCAACCTGGCCGTCTGGCTGGTGCTGGCGGTCATCGTCTTCACCGCCCTCAAGGGACATCATTCCAAGTTGAGCACAGCTCAACAGCTTACCACCACCACCACCACCACCAAGCGGCCCTCGGCGATGGCCATCCTCCTCCAGCTGTACGCCATCTTTATGGGGCAGTGTAATAAGTGGTTATATTTTTTTGACATTTTTAAAACATTACATTTTTTTCGGCAGCCAACAAACTCCGCTGGAGCTGGGTGCCCACCGTCCGCCTGCTCTACGGCGTCTGGGTGCCGATGGTGCTGGTGCTGGCCAACAGCTACGGCGGCCGCTTCTACTCCATTCTCGCGCTGCCTGAATTCGAGCCGCCCATCGACACGCTGGCCGCCCTGGAGGCCATCGCCCGAAGTGACAGTGGCCAGCTGATCACCTTTGACGACTCGAGCTACCTGGCGATGTTCCAGGGGGCGGCGCCCGAGGACGGGGTCATCTACGAGATTGGCCGCCATATGAATCGGTAAGAGAAAAAGAGGATAAAAAAATGTTAATCTTATTTTATCTTTCTTTTTCCTTTTTCCAGCTCGGCAACTCGCCACGTCGCCGACGACGAGGCGAGCATTCGGGCGGTTGAGAATCGCCCACGGACCACCCTCATCGCCACCCGCCTCTACCTGGCCACCATCCGCCGCGTCTACTCGCACCAGCCCCTTCACCTGGGCAGTGAGTCCCTCAACCTCGACTACACCTCCTTCATCTTTCCCAAGCGGTCGCCCCTGTTGCCGCCCTTCAGTGCCATGTAAGTTATTTTTTAGATGGTTTTAAAAGTTTACTTAATGTTCTCCCCTTTTCTCCAGAATCGAACGCATGTACCAGTCGGGCATGATCAGCAAGCTGCTGGGCAGCACCTTCAACCGCCTGCCGGGCCGCTCTGCCGCCAGCCTCGACTCGAATCCGACGACAATGGCCAGCACATCTTCATCTTCAGTTACTCCAAATCCCCTTGCCCTCGCCGACCTTCGCTCCGTCTTTGTTCTCTGGTCCATTGGAACTGCCCTGGCGCTGGCCGCCTTCTCGCTCTATGAGACGCTGCTTACGGTGCTCCTCGCTCGGCAGATGAAGGGAGGAAAGACGGCTATGCACAGGCTGCACAGATAAGAAGAAGAAGAAAAAGAAGAAACGGCGAACAAGCGAGCAATTATATATATTTGTCGGCGGCGGCGGCGGCGGTAGCCCCCAAGAACAAGAACAAGAGGAGATCACGAGAAGTCAGCGAGCAAGATAAAGTGTGTTCGTGCGTGCGTGCGTGTGTTTGCGAATTTGTGGAGAGAAGATTGCTCGGGAACAGCAGAAGATGTGCCGGTCAGCTGCCGTACACACGCACATTCGCGTGTGTGTACGGCACACAGAAGCGGCGACGGCTGCTGATTCTGCTGCTGGTGATGTTGCCGCCGCCACGGTAAGTCAATGAATATATCATAGATCTACTTGCGGAACTCTATATACTGCCGTTTCGGGCCACTGCTGCTGTCTGACAGTACTACGGTCGAGTGACTTTTTCGATTCCTCCTCCTCTCTTTTGCCTCCTCTTCTCTATTTCCTTTCACATCTCTCTCTCTCTTTCTTGTACTACTCTGACAAGCCGAAGCCGGCAAAAGTCGTTCTCGGTTCGCTTCTTGTCGGGTCTCGGCGCGCTTTGTTGCTTCATTTTCGACTCCATTTTCTCTCTTTCTTTCTCTTTCTCATTTTCTCTCTCCTTTTCTCTCAACTTCATTATACACTGAGGCAGCTTCCTTTACGCGCAGCTCCCTAACATGGTCTCTAATTCTTTCTCTCTTTAATTCCTGTTCTCTTTTTCGTTTTTCTCTTCAAGGCCACCACCACCACCACCACCACCAACCCACCGCCATCAGGAAAAGAGGATCTGCTGGCGGCTCTCATCTTACACTCCGATCTCTCTCGCTATAGACTGAACACTCGTTTTCGGTTAGGGATGCACACAGTATTATACACTGCCTTCACCAGCAGCTCGGCGGACACACAATACACCTTTGCACTCCAGCGAGAACGACGGTGGCCGCATCACTTCACTTTACCACTTAACACAGAACCAGAACCACAAGCAGCAGCAGCAGTAACACCACCACTCGACCTCCGCCGTCAGCGCTAATTGTCCTCTGCTGTCATCACCACAGCTGTTACCACTGCAGGATCACATTACCACCAAACAGTTCAACACCGTAAATCAAATCACCCCAATCCAATTAATGATGGCCACTACCAATTCCACCAGGAACAATCACTTCGCCAACTCCACCATCGAACTCTCCGTCAGCTGTCGGGGGCTGCGCAACCGCGACCTCGCCTCCCGCTCCGACCCGTACTGCGTCCTCTACACCCGGGCCCGCCCCTGGAACACCTTCTACGATACGGAGCTGGGCCGAACGGAGATCATCGCCGACTGCCTGTCGCCCGCCTGGACGCGCAAGTTCACCCTCGAGTACCGCTTCAGCGCCCTCCAGCCGCTCAAGTTCGAGGTGATGGACAGCGACCCGGGCGAGGAGAAGGAGGACGACTTTCTGGGGCTGTACGAGACGACGCTGGCGGAGTTGCTCGCCCGGGGCCCCTCTCGGTCGGTTGTGGTGCCGCTGCGCAGCAAAATCCTCGATGGCCTCGATATGGGCGAGCTGATTGTCGTCTGTGAGGAGGTCTTCCCCGGAGGGGAGGACTCGCGGATGATTGTGAAGTTCGACTTTACCGGGGAGCAGCTGCTCAAAGTCGGAGGAGGGGGTGATAGTGGAGTTCCAGGAGGAAAGGTGCTCGGCAGGCTGAAGGCGAGCATGAAGCGCAATCGGACCTTCCTCGAGGTGAGCCGCTCCAACGAGGACGGCAGCTACTCGCTGGTGTACCGCGGCAAGCCCGCCGGTCCTGAATCGAAAAGTGGCGGCGGCGCTACCATTTGGAAGCCGGTTCAGCTGCCCCTGAGCCGCCTCTGCAACGGCGACCCCCGCCGTCCGGTGAAGATTGCGGTGCTGAAGTGGAAGGCGGACGGGCAGCACCGGCTGCTGGGCACGCTGTGGAGTTCGCTGGAGGAGCTGATGCGGCCGGAGGGTTCCTCCTCAACCTCCTCTTCAACTTCTTCAACTTCGGTGTACCCCCTTCTGCCCGGCACCACCTTCAAGCCGATCACCTTAAAACCGAACAGCCGACTCTACCTCGAGCGGCCCTCNAGGGTTCCTCCTCAACCTCCTCTTCAACTTCTTCAACTTCGGTGTACCCCGCTCTGCCGGGCACCTCCTTCAAACCAATCACTTTAAAGCCCAACACCCGACTCTACCTCGAGCGGCCCTCCTCCTCCTCAGAAGGCACTTCAGCCTCGCTAACTCCAACTCTACTCCTCCGCGAGCTCTCCATCTCCGACCAGGCGGTGCCCTCCTTTCTCGACTACATCTCCGGCGGCGGGACGCAGCTGCACTTTGCCGTCGCCATTGACTTTACCGCTTCCAATGGGCACCCGGGCGACCCTCGGTCGCTGCACCGTCTGGCCAACTATGCCCAACCCGAAGACCAAAGCACTAACCCAAACCAGTACGAGATTGCGCTGCAGGCCGTCGGCGACATCATCGCCCAGTACGACTCGCTGAAGATGTACCCCGCCTTCGGCTTTGGCGCCGCCCTCCCCCCGGAGTTCAAGGACCCCGCTCGACCGACCATCGAGCCGCTCTTTCACCTCAACTACACCAGCACCCACCCCTACTGCGTCAACGTTGCGAGCATACTGGAGCACTACCGCCAGACGGTGGCCGCCGTCCGCTTCACCGAGCCGACCCGCCTGGCGCCGGTCATCGCCCACACGACGGCCATAGCCGATCGGTACTCGACGGCGGCCGCCGACGCCGGTAAGCACTACTTTGTTCTGCTGATCCTCACGGATGGCGGCGTGGACGACCTGCCGGAGACGGTGGCGGCCATCGTGGCCGCCTCCAGCCGCCCCATGTCCATTGTCATTGTGGGCATTGGGGAGGGGGCTGATGGAGAGGGAGGAGGTGGTTTCTATACCATGCAAATGCTCGACGGCGATGACGGGTACCAGCTGGCGGTGGAGGAGGGCGGAAGCGGTGGAAGTGGCCGCATTCAGAAGGTCGCCGAGCGGGACATTGTGCAGTTTGTCCCGCTGAAGCAGTTCATCGGCACCGACAGCTCGCCCGCCGAGGTTCGACGGGAGGAGCTGGCGCAGGAGGTGCTCGCCGAGGTGCCCCGCCAGGTGGTGGACTACATGGTCGCCCGGGGCATTCGCCCCAAGAATAGGCGACGGGACAGTGCTGAGAAGAAGGCTTGAAGGTTCCTTTTGAAGCTGAAGCATTATCAACTCTATCAACGCTATCATATACTCCCACCTTTTCCTTATCAATACCCTTGCGTGCTGATCATTTCCTCCCATTTTTCCAAACCTCCTTTCCTCCTCTTATAACCTTATCAAGTTCCTTCTTCTTCTTCTTCTTATTTCCGCTTGAGTGCTTGCATCATCTTCTGTTTTTTGCTGCCGTCTTGTCTTTTCATGTGTGTGTGGTGCCTGTTTTGCACGCCTGTCTCCCCCCGCGTTTTCCGCTTTTCACTTCTCACAGCCTTTAACATCCTCAGCTCCTCTGCTCCTCTGTTCCTATCCTATCCAAATTACGAAACACACTCACGAAGTACTCTCTCACTTTTACTTCATTACACACACACACACACACACACACACAGACACTCACTCACTCACATACACTTCCATTTACAGGCAAGAGTGAGCAAATTGGGGAGAGGGAAAGCGTCTTTGCTCTCTCTCTTCTTCTTTTGCCTGTCAGCTGATCAACGTCGCCGCCGTCAGAGCATCAGCACACTTCAGCTTTGGCACTTCAACGTTCCAGAAGACTTCAGCATCATCATCATTATCACATGACACACACACACACAGACATACACAGACTCTGACTGCTATTTTCGACATATTTCCCTTCTCCCCTTTGGTTGCTCTGGCTCATATAACATCATCATCCCCATTTTCACCCTCCTTCATTTTCACAGCTGATTGTGATTGCTCCCACTTTCCCTCTCTCTGAACGTACATTTCTATTTGAATGCACTCTGCCTGAAACAACAAATCTACCACCGCCACCACCACCTCTATTGCACCTCTCTCGGCCATTACCTTCACGCTTGTAACACACACAGTTACTCAGCTCAGCCCAGTCAAGGTTGCACCTCATATGATCGACTGTACTGACTGTATAACGGTGTGATCGATCGAGGGGGAGCAACTAGCAATGGTACGGTGCATTAGCTGCTGCTGCTTCGGTTATGACTAACATGTGTCAGTTGATGTTAGCATCATCACCACCACTATCACCACCTCTACCATCACCCCACCCCGAGCCCCCGAGGTGGTGGTGGTGGTGACGGAGCTGGAGGTGATATATAAAGCCTCGATGGCGACGTTGGCGCTCTTCAGTTCTTCTTCTGCCGTACAATTTGCTGAAAATCCTCAACTATGAATCCTGATCCTGAAACGCAAGCAGCAGCAGCAGCAGCACCAGAAACGGCGCCCGCCGCCGACAGTGCCCCAGCTCCCGAGCCCGAGTCCTCTTCTTCTTCAGCTCCAGCCGATTCTGTGGATCAGGTTGAAGGAGGAGGTGGTGGTGGTGGCGAACCGGAATCGACGGCCAGCGAGTGAGCTGATTTCGAAAACTTCGAAAACTTCATTAACTTCTATTTTAACACCGACTTTTCACTCCCTCTTCTGTTTTACCCTTCCTCCTCCTCCTCCTCAACTAAACTATTTTCTTGTGTACATTCCTTTGGATGATTTGATGATGGATTAAACCTTCCTTTGACTGTTAAAGTGTTCACTTGTTGTGACGGTGGTGGTCACCGCCATTCATTTGATTGATGATGCGGAATACTGCTTTTTTGCTGCTGTTGCATAACGCGCATTCCTTAGCATCCTTCTTCTTCGTATGCAATCAATTTTGAATCGAGGGGTATTACCTAAGAGTGTTGAAATAGCTGCTGCTGATGCTGCAGCAGATGTTTACGTTTTTGGTTGCATTCAATCGCGGGTACACTTTTGCAGTGTTTTTATCCAATTTTACCGCAAGAAGTCTATCTTTTCAAAGTCCTTTTGGGCTGCCAACGCAGTTTGGAACACTTCAGAAGATAAAAGACCGCCGAAGAAGGAGTTGACATGTTCCGACAGGCGGCGAATCGGACGTTTCGAGCCTTCGAAAAAGGTTTGCTGCTGCTGTTCTACTTTTCTATTTTTGCAATTCTAATCTTTGGGTCATTTTTATCAGAAAGCAACCTCGAATGGAAGGGCCCGTTTCGGTTCATCCAGGCGGCGGACAGCCAGTTCGGCCTCATCGACGAGCTCTCCTACGTCGACTGGAGCGGCCCGGTGGAGGCGGCCCTCGAGGCAAGTCGGGCGTACAAGGCCCGGGCCAGCTCCGTCTGGACGGAGGAGCTTCGCCTCGCCCAGTTGGCCATCAAGCAGTGGAACTCGATGACGCCCCGACCGGCCTTCGTCGTCGTCTGCGGCGACCTGGTGAACGAGTTCCCCGGTCACCAGCAGCGACCACTGCAGGTAGCGGACTTTAAGCGGACCTTTCGAGAGCTCGACGCGAAGATTCCGCTCGTCCTGCTGCCCGGCAACCACGACCTGCTCAACCGGCCCACGGAGGCGGCCGTGGAGGCGTACCAGGCGGACTTTGGCGACGACTACTTTAGCTTCTGGGTGGGTGGTGTCTTCTTCATCGTCATCAACGTCCAGTACCACAAGGACCCGCAGCTGGTGCCGGCGTTGGCGGCGGAGCACGAGCGGTGGCTGGATAGGCAACTTGAGGAGGTGAAAGAACATCAAGGATCGTACAAGCACATCATCGTCTTCCAGCACATTCCCTGGTTTCTGCGCCACATTGACGAGCCTGATGATGAGATTGTAAGCGTTTAGAGAGCGATTTGCTGATTTCGAAATTGACGG